AGCCATAAAAAATAATAGCCTGACCTGCTTGCCAGCTGCATCAGTATTCAAGTAAAGTTTAAAGTACCTTTGTGGGACTTTAGAGTCTCGGAGGGTCAGACCAGCTTATTTTAACACGTGTAACACACACTTTGAAACAGCTTTGTCATCTGCTTGTTTAAACTAAAAAGCAAAACTCAAAAATAAACAGGAGCAAAGGAAAGTTATAGGAAAGGTCTCAGCATCAGTATTAGACTGCAGAGTGTCTTCTTGACACTGACACTTTGATATTCTTGCCTTCCTTTCTAATGCACTGAGATATCATGAAGACACGCAGCCCCTTTAAACGAGCATTACAAGAGTCCAGTTTTCATAGACGTTAACTTGATCACCAGCACAACACTGGAGAAAGCTGATCTAACAATATTTCACTTACAGAACTCTTCAAAAGGAAAATAAGAAATACAATTCCACAAATACCAAAGCCAATTAAGAACACAGAAAGCAAATTGGTTTTTCCTCAGTGTTTTTTCTTTTTTCAGAAAGAATGTTTTCTTCCCTTATCACTTTCTTTAAAAGCAAATTTTCCAACCAGCCAGATTTTAAAGTGATCTTCTCTCTACACGAATCTAAACTTTTCTGAAAACACCTACATGGTTTCGGGGGCAGAGGATTCCCTCTTCTAAATTTCAGAGCCATCTTAATGGCATCCACTTGTTTTGTGTTGTTTCTCCTCTTGAATTTGCCCATTCCCCTTAGCAGTTCACAGGCCAATACCACTGTGAGCATTTAGGTGTCTGCATTTGAAAGAACTTTGGACTGAGCACAGCTTCACACTTCTCATCTTCTCTATGCCCTTTCCATGTAGGTTTTTCTTCTGTTTTTACATGTACAAAATCAGTTTGTGTAACGTTGTTTTAAAGGAAGAAAATAAAATACACACACACACACACATATTATATTGGTGAACACTATACACTAAGTATTTTTTTTCAACAGCATAACAGAAAGTTTGGCCTACTGTAGGTTGAACATGTAGGGAAGGCTGAATTTTTACGGTTGCCATGCAAGCCACCTTCAAGACAAAACAGATGAACCCACCCAAGAGCAAATGCAGCTTCTGCTCTCAAGCCGTTAGGCAAATACTGCCTTTGCAGGGATCAGACTGACCAGAACCATCTCACCAATTCACTGAGTGCAGTATTTAGAGAACCACACCAAGCTGCTTTCGCATCAGTTGTCTGCATCCAAATGCTGTTAAAACCAAAAGGGAAAGAGGGTATTTGACTTGCCTTATTATTATTATTAATATGTATACATTTTGATAACACCTTGAATTTCAATTTACTTCTGAAACCTTGTCCTTTGAGAAGAACACATCCTTTAAGCTGACTCTTTTTTTCAGGCTTCTCTTCCTTTAAAATTCTCTCTTCTTTTCATTTTGCTGCTCTTTTCCAATATCTAGCAGAAAACTTGCTTTCTTCCAGCAGAAACGCGGCTGGTGGCCTTGGGCCTTCACTGCACCCGCTCAGTGAAATTCTCAGGGAAAACCCCTCGGCATTGGTCAAGTTCCTTACGCTGGATCCAGTCAGACTCCTTCACACCCATCAGCCATCCTTCGTCCTGGAGGAGGAGACAGAGATCAGATGCTGAGAGACAGATGTGAGCAGGGATTGCTCTTACAGAGCGCAGGCCAGGGAGGTATCAAGGCATTATTAAAGCCATGCTCATATTTGGCTTGGAGACAATCCAGGAAGAGGATGAGGGAGAAGAAAAAAAAAATTGTTTCATTCCCTGTTTAAAAGGGAGAAGGCTACAACCCAACAGAGGCAGTTATCAACTCCTATATGACCCAGAGTGCCTAGAGACAGTAACACCGTAAACAATTAGCAAACGCAATACAAACATGTCATAATTCACACCCACCAAATAAGAAATCCTGCCAAAGAAAGTCTCTAGAGCTACAGGAGAGGAATCACCTTTCTCATCTGTCACAATCTAGACATGAGGGCTCTAGCACCCTCCATAGCCATAAAAGTAATGGGTACCTCCACAGTGCAATTCATCCCATTCACCGTGGGCACAAGTCTTTGGAAAGGATGAATCGTTCCCTGGAGGTGCTCATCCCCTGCTACAGGCAGGGCACCTGGATGATTAGCATTTCAGAGAGGTGGTACAAACAAAATGACTCTCATTTGCTGTGCTGAAATTCTGGTCTAGGGGAACACAGAAGCAGGAAGACCCATCTTGCTGCTTCTCTTCCCAAAACCCAGCAGTCTGTGAGGCTTGATACAAAGCGAGGTTGGCAAAACTCCCAAATTTGTGCTGTTCAAGGTCTCCCACAAGGGTTCTTCCTAGCCACCAAACCTATACATCTATAAACAGAGATGAATTTTCAGAGGCAAATGGAGTTGTGCTTGGTAGAACCTGCTCAGGAGAACCAGACTTCCCACCCTCTACAGGCAGTGTCCAGCAGCGAGATTTCTGCTTCACCTCAAGCACATGAGGGCGATGAGATACTCAAAGAAGGAATGCTGTACAGCCTGCAGCTCAGGCGTGCAACCACCCTGTTCTCTGCACGCCTTGGGGCTGCCACCACGGAAGCACCCCCTCAGCAGGCAAATATACCCACTCATGGGAGTCCTTTGCAGCAGGGCAGCCCATGGGTTAACACGGCAGCACAAGCAAGAGGGCTGAGCAGGAGACCACTGCCTCCAAACCCAGCAGCCTGCTCTTCATGCACTCCTCTGGGCAAAGCATGCACCGGGCTCATTTAAGAGACATGTTATCAAGGTCAACTAATAACTTCCCAGAGCAGAAGTGCTCGGGCCACCAGTTGCTCTACGCTGTGAGGAACTGGGGCACGTGTGTGTGGTTCACACAGTTGTCCTGACACTTCTGCCCTCCTGGAACTGGCAGGAGTTACTTGGCTATTTAGACAAGATCAAATATGCCTCCCTAGAAACACGTTTTTTAAAAACATACCTGCACAGTGCAGGAGTGAGGCATTTCTTGCCAGGGGTGATCCCTGGGACACACATTGCTTTCCACTGCCATTTTGTGACTTGTGTCCTCATCCTGTTTTCTGCAGGTTGGATGTGGCAGCAGCTCAGACTAGCCATCGTATCCGAGTTCCCTGCTCCTTGCAGGCTGTAGTGGGTGCCTGCAGGCTCAGCTAGCCCTTGCTGCTGCCTCCAGAGCTGAGCATTCACAGGAATGGCAGGAGATGGGAGCTCATCTGCAGCAGCCAGCTGCCCGGGCTGCAGAACGACTGACACGCCATAAATCAGGAAGACAAACGACTAGGTGGGAGGTGCTGGGCCCAAGTGTCTGGAAGGCAGCTTCCAGCTCACAGCACAGCAAGCAGGAAAGCTCATCCATTTGCACACAGCCTTTGTGCCACACAGCATGCATCACTCCCACGGCATCCTCCTACGAAGGTCTCCTCAGCCACAGGGATTAGGCAGGAGGACCCAGATTGACCCTTGCCATTTTTGAACCACATCACTTGAAATGCCAGCTTAGAAGCATTGCTGCCCTCAATCCTTTCTTCTGTCAAGAGAGATGAAACCAGGCCTGGCTAATGTACCCACAAATTGACACCTAAGCTGCATGACTGGGACGTGGGTCACAGTCGATTACCGTAAGCTTCCTCCACTCACGTGTACAGGTCATGCACATGTTAACAGCCAATGTTTTCCATCTGGGCATGGTCCAGGTTAGGGAAATGAGCTGTAGCACAGGATACTTTGTAGGAGGGTTAGAGGGCTTCAGTGCAGCTACAGCATCATGTTAGCAACACTCAGAGCTCACCCTCTGCAGCTTGGAGAGTCTCGAGTTCATGGCTGTTGCACCCACATCCAGCTAGAGTGCAAACATAGGGCATTGAAAAACTCTGCTCCAGAAATGGCATCTCATACTACAGAAAACAGGGGACCTGCCACTCATTTCCCATCCAGAAAGCTTTCTGAGAAAGAAATACTCACAAACAACTGTGTAGGGCAGTCCTACTCAGTGAAAAGACTTGTCTCCAGAAGGAATCAGTGTCTTTTCCCCATACGTCCCCTGCCCTCAAGAGCACCTGATTCTGCAAGAACTGCAGACACGTTATAGCTCCAATTTCACCACGAGCAACAAGATCTGCCTCCATAATTCACAACACCAACAGCTGAACCACAAAAAGGATCCGTACCTTCTGTGGCCAGTGAACTACATCACCTTCCCTTTGCCCTTTGTGAAATCCAGATCTTGTCTGGACTTGACCAAACCCAAAGAGCTGGCAATGGCTGAATTAATTTAGAAAATTCCTGTCCTTTTCCAAACAAAAACCTGGAGACATGAGTATGAATTTTATAAAATCACCACTGCCCTCAGTCAAAGTAGGAAAAATGCTACAGGCTTTATCTGCTGGAAGCCCTCAAATACAACAAGTGAAGAGGATTTACTCACGGCTTCTAGAAATAGCTCAGATTAAAGAAGAATATCACCAATTAAATTCAGGTTGGAGATGGACAGTAAGACTGTTCTCCAGGGCTGAGAAACCTGCTCCAGCCTTTGGTTCTGCTGCCATCTCCTGGCCATACACCGTGCTTTGAAAATAACCATTACTGTGCTGAAGTGCAAGACATCATCCACGGCAAACTGCTTTCTCAGGGCTCCAGCATCTCTCAAAAGGGGAGAAAACATCATCCTAAGCTGTGGGTCACACCTGCCAATGCCACAGTCTGCACTGTAGTAGTCACAGGGAATGTGCATCAAATTCAGGAGGAGCAGTGAGGAGGCAAAGTATTGGCTCTGTTGGGCTCCCTGATCAAGGGAACCATTGTATCGGCTCAAATGCCCTGACAGGATCAGGAAGCCATGGCTATTTCACATGCTTTATGCAGGATAATGTCTCCATTTTCCAGTCACAAGCAGAGTCCTCCCCTCTGTTGCAGGAAGCCAACCTCAAGCTCAAGGACAACTGGCTCTCCTGCCAGCTCCCAGCCACAAACTGATGGCTCTGCATCCAGCCAGCCGACTGTTAGTGGAGGAAGAAGCAGCTGTGGAAACCCCCTCGGCTCCTCCCGGCCCAGACTCACACCCTATCTCCCCCACTCACCTGCTCCTCAGGGTTCTCAAATGGAATCACAAGCACCACATCCCCAGCCTTCAGCTGTAGCTCATCGCTGTCAGTGGCCGTGTAATCATGCATGGCCTGGACCTGTGTGGAGAGAAGAGGAGAGCTTGGGTGAGGCCAGCCTTCGCTCACCCAGCTCCACAACTGGGGACAAGGAGTTCCACTTCATTGATCCAGTGGATGATTCTGACTGAAAGGCACTTTTGGAGGCCATCTGATCCCCCCTGCTGTTCAAGGCAAGGCAAGCTTGGATCACAAACATCACATCTACAGGAATAACCACTTTCCTTCCTCTAATGGCTATGGGCTTGCTCACACTGCCCGGCATGCAGCTTGCCTCTGCCACAAGGGCATCCTGGTGAGTCTCATTCAACTTGTTATGCATCAGCACCCCACTGTCCCTCCTTAAGAGGGTTGTTTTCTCATGGCATGGGCCTAAAAACCTCACAGCACAGAAAGCCTGTATTCGCTTGACTGGTACCCTGTATTCTTTTTGCAGCAGGACTGCAAGAGTATTAGAGAACATAGCCTCCCACAGCTGTCAGAGCAAGCAGGGAGAGAAAACACAGGGAAGAGTATCAGTTTGGATTTTTGAGTGACTGTATCCTGCCCTGTTTTCTCTTTGGTATTCAGACCAATTCCTATCGTTACAGGTCTTCTACTTCAAACCACAGCTCTCCACTTGGAGCACTGCCTGTACCCAGTCTAAAAGTGATGAGACTCTATTCTTCTTAAGGGTTTTGTCATTGTTTTGCTTTCGGTAGAACTCCCAGAATAAAATAAAAATAATGCATGGACATGTCTAAAGCAGAAGAAAAGTATTCCTACAGCAGGGGACTTTCATTTCTCACCTTCACAGCCTGATGCATCTGTGTTGTCTTGCTAATGTTCCATTACACACACTGAATTAGTGGCCTATCCTCACCCAGAATGACTCCTTCCTCCACACCTTCAAAACAAGCTGCAAGCTATCTTTGGCATATTCAGAACATCCACTAGATCTCCCTGTCCAATGCTGTATTTTCCCCTGTTGATCCTGGCTTTCCAGTTTCCCCAAATACAAAGTCCTTTGTCCCTGCTCGTGTTTCCAACTCTTCTTCATTTGCCACTTGCATCAAAGTTTAACCTTTCCAGATTGGAACCAAACTTTCTGCCTACTACCCAGAGTCGGTGACTGACACTACCACACCACCAGAAGTAACTGCAGCAGAGAGAAAGGTGGGTTTTGCTATACAGCACAGCCAGACTTTTAGAGGTAGGGATGCCTTTACACAGTTCTCTGAGGCATCTGGAACTGCAGGAAGCTGGGCTGTCTGAGGGAAAGGTGTATATCTCATCCAGCTTCCTTTCTCCCTTTCAATGTGACACAGCCCATGGCCATGTTGAGTAGAAGTAGTTAACTTATTATGGGGGAAGGGAAGAATTCACCAGGAACTCAGTGTCCCACCTCCACTTGCTCACCTTGAACAGAAATCCTGGGGGCATATCAGCTCTTTCAGATGAAGCAGCTCCTTCCACCGTGCCATTGACAGTAGCAGGGAAAGTTTCCACAACAACAGCAGGCAGAGAGCTCTGGTAGGGCAGCACCAGCCAGGGATGGAAAAAAAGCCATTGAAAAAAAGAATATAAAATTGCAGCTCCAAATCCACCCTGGAGGATCCACATCCCAACCCTACCCATGGCTTCAGTGGGCTCTCCCAGCACACCAAACAATGACAGAAACACTCCAAAGGACAGGAGAGGCAGCAGCAAGAGATCAGGACAGGTGACCACAGTCTCCCTTTGCTTAAGGCTGCAAAAGGGTAGAGAAAATTTAGAGTTTTTCTGGGACCATAGTGTGTGGCATTTCCCATCCACTCATGTCATGATGCAGTTCTTGTAGAGCCCTCATGGAACAGACAACTCAAATGCAACAGCCTATAGCAACCAAGTGGCCACGAGCCTACTGGAACCTACTCCAGTCCCCTAAAAAGGTGGCAGTGTCAGGAAAAAAAAGAGATGTTTAGAGGACACAGGCAGAGCCCAGAGGACAGGCTAGGTACAGTAAATGGCGAGCAAGGAGGAATCCAGCAGACAACACAAGCTTTGCACAGCACGGGCTGTGGGCTGGCTTCACAGTAAGAGTGAAGGGACAGTTCTTTTTGTGGATCTTCCAGCAGAGCTTCTCCCTAAGCATCACAAAGATAAAATGCAACACCTAAGTTTGGCCTCTGAATAAAAGCATTGTAACTGCCAGGGTGGCAAGGATGTGTTTTTCCAAGCAGCCACACATCCCTTTTCCCAGGCCAGTCTCCCACATCTGCTGTACAACAAAGGGATGTGATGGAAAAAAGGGACTGCTGTCCCTCAAGGTGCTTACCGATCCTGAATCGGTGTCAGTTTTAGAAGCTTCAGCTCCAGCTGCTGCTTCTGATCCAGCTCCTTCAGTTCCTGCATGGGCTGCTTCTGCAGGCTGCAATACAAAAGCCATCCAAGTGGAGAGTTACACTCATTACGGCTACGTGTGTGTGCAGAAAAGTGCAGCTCAGTCTGACCAAGGGCTCTGTGCTGTTGACTGCTGCCATCTACTGACAAGAAGGTGAGAAACCTCAGGGTCTTGCTAGGCTTCTGTCTCCCTCTTCCTCTGCAACCCAGGGAAATCCCAGTACAGCCTGCATCCCCTCACTCCAGCCACGCAGCAGGCGACAGTCCAGAGGCAATCAATGAAACGCCAGAAATTCTTTTCACGACCTCAGCTGCGGACCTACGTTATGCACACGCAGTACCTAGGATGACACACAGACTGACCACTCGTACAGCAACACAAGCCTGCTCCACGCCAAGGGACACGGGTCTCCCAGCAGGCTACTTCCAAAGATCAACAATCAAGGAATATTTAAACCTGTGCGTACTTCCAGAAACAGAAGAGTGTGGTAATAATGTGTCTAGATACGGATCTTAGTCTGGACCCAGCAACTACATGACATCAGCACTGAATCAAACTGAACCAAGAACTGTGCTAACTTTCACCCAATTTGATTTTGGATAGGCCCTAAAAGCCTTTAATTTGGACTCCGTTGTGAATATTCTACTACTAAGAATTTGCTATGAATATTCCACACATGCACCCATTGGTGTTGGTGGAGAAGGGTTTCTAATGCACAAAAGCTGCTACCGCCAGGAAGAAATGTTCAGCACCACCTACAAATCACTGCCTGGCAGACTGTTTTAGGAAGCCTGCAGACAGAGGTCTCTGTGCACAACAAACCACCAACCAAACATTTCTAATACACTTCCAGCAGTTCAAGTTTTTATTGTCCCTTGCCTGAAGTCAGGCTAACTCTGTCTTAACACAAAACTAAAAATATTCATTTGCCCCTTCCAGAAATTGCAGCAACAAAATAAGTAGGTTGGATCTGACAGCATCAATGCTGCAGATCAGCCCCTTAGGCGACCAGTCAGGCAGCATCTGAGAAGACTCCCAGTAAGAATCTCCAGGGTCTAATTGGCTGCCCAAGTGCCTTCATGGCCAGTCTAGATCCATGTGTTCTCTATACCAGAGTACGTGCCCCTCTTTGCAAAATCTAGCCAGATACCCACTTTATACTTGCACAACAGAGACTGTTACACAGAAATTTCACATTTTTAATAGATGTGAATAAACCAGCTTTACCCCGCCTGTGTTTCTCATGTATCTGGTAAACACACCTACCCCTGAATACAACCACATTCAAAGCAAGGCACTGTCCAGATTTCTTCATGCTGCAGTTCTCATCATCTGAACCCTACTAAAGCCCAGTGTAAAGCAATGACCGTGCTAACCCTGAACTGTCCACCCACCTGGCTACCAGCCACGCAGGGGCACAATGCTCCAAGCAGTTTTCTAATAACAGTGGCCATAACAAAGAAATAACTCCTAGATTTAAGAAAACGCTATCACTTTGCCTTCAGCTGCTCCAGTGGTGCCATTTAACACACGCTTTCCTCTCCTATCACATCCTTCCTCATGTCTCCCCACCACCATGTCCACAGGCCTATATTGCCAGCAGACACTATGAAAAGCAGAGCTGTTCCCATCCTGCAGAGGATTCCCACAGCAGCTTTGAGAGTGCTAAGGTAGATGTACGCATATGAAGTGCTACGAAGCCTTCTCCTGCTTAATTAGATTCACTCTCTGCTTGCTTTTTATTTGGATTCAGTGAAACTGGAACTGGGACAGATGCCAGCCCAACTCTGTCTGTCCAAGCAAGGTTTTTATACGGACAGGTGAAAAGGAGCTCAACATGAGCTCCTTTTTTAAAAGCGGATAATTTGCAAAACCAGTATTTAATAACCAGATAAATTTAATCTAAATTAATCCCCTGGATTTTAACGAAGGGCACTTTCATGTCAGCTACTTATTTTCTATTTTACATACCCGTGAGCATCCCAAGGCATATAAAAGCATTTACAGTAATGGAAAGATACTACAGAGAGAAGAGGAAGAATTGCTCACTGCTGTTGCCAGGTTTGAAAGCTTTGCTTATTCCAACAGCACCATCATACACACCAAACCCAAGTGTTTTTAGTCTACAGAACTAAGCAAGTTCTGCTGCATCCAAGTTTCTATGCAGTTGTTCCCCTCATAGGATATGGGGCTACGTAACCATACAACAAATCCTATCTCATCAACAGCTAAGAGCATCAATGCAAAAATACTCCAAAAGACTTGAAAAGCAAAAGGAAGACTCCTCAGCTATAGGGAGCTCTGCTCCTTAACTATCTATACCATGCCAAAGTGAGAATAGGCATGGTGAGAACATCTCGTCTAGCAGCATTCTCCAGTTGACAATATTGTCCTTTGGGTGAAATCAGGTTCCATCATGGGAGAAATGGCCTAAAACACTTTTTACACACCAGACTGTAAGCACAGCTCAATCAGCTACAGTCATACCTCAACCCTGCCCATCCCCTTGTAAGGCACGAGATCTTTCCTTGCAAAACCAGACTTATTTTCTTTCTTACTAAGATAGAATGGCAGTCACATACAGAGGATTGACAGATGTTAAACACAACACACAAGGGAAACATCTTTCCTGACATGACCCAAGCTCATGTGAAGGACAGCACTGGCAACGGCAAGTTGCTGGGCCAGGCTCTCAGCAAAGGTTAAATCATGTCCTCCCAAGTACCAACTCTAGGTGTTGATGGGGTCCCTGAGAATGGAAAGGTTGGCAGGACTCGATTCCTCAGCATAAGCTAAGGACATGTGCTTACATCTACACTACAGGATATAGCCAGCTCAAGTAGCAGGATTGTGTACCAAGACCAAGATTTTTCTGTCACACACTACTGGCTGTTTGTCCAGAAGGATTCAGAATTGGTTGTGCTTGAAGTATCTCCCAATGGACCAATCTGCACCAATCCAAGATCTTCCCAGGCCAAATATATCTAGAGCACATCAGTGAGGGTCTGGCTTTGGTTCAGATGCAGGGCACATGTAGCAAACTCCAAAGCTGAGGCTGGGGGAGATGCCAGGTAAGTCTTGGGCCTGCACTTAATTTTCAGTGTAGACACAGGCTGAGTTATTTCACACCAACCTTTCTGGCAATAACGATCAATGAATAGCAGACACCACAGATAATTCCAAACATGTATGTATACCAATGGTACAAGGCAGTAAGGACAAGGGGCAGCTGAGACATTTATTCATTACCCACAAGACGAGAAGGATGTACAGATTTTAGGAATTAGTGAGGAGTGGAAGATGAGGATGACGCCACAATGGGATTAAGTTTGAGGAGAACATCACAACATCATGCCAAAGGAAAGATAAGTGAGTTAACAGGGAAAGGCAATGAGGTTGTATGCTGGTGGAGACATAACCTTCAAAGTCCCAGACCTGATTTGCAAACATCTGGCTGCTGCTGCAGCTTCA